ACACGGTGGAGTTACGTAAAGTGCGTGTAATATTAAATAATTTTACCAGTGTAAAATATATATATTGCAGGTTAGGCAATTGTGTGTTTCAAGTTCACACAATCATTGTATCTATAACAAGTATTATCAAGCCAAAAACAATTGGTTAAAATTAATCACAGTTAAATTCCTTACCTTCCATTTCAACTGTAAATACTTCATATACTTCAAGTGTTCTCGCCGATACAACTTTGTACAAGATGAAGGAACTCCGTTTAATGCCAAGTAAAAGAACTTCGCTTCCAAATATGGTGCTTCTCCATTCACGGACTCCCCGAGTCGCAGGTGGCGGGGTTGTTGTAGCGATTGCATCGAGGTGGACTTTTGATAATGTAAGATAGCATTGTTTATTACTATTGTTTATTTATTTATTACCATTTTATTTTAAAATTACATATACCTCAGAGAATAAAAAAGCTCAAAGAGAGTAAAGGGGCGATAGAGGTTGAGGGAGACTATTTGAAGACATCACAAACGACTAAAATTAGGATATGCGTAGGGGACAGTACCGTTTTTTGGTAGTTTGTCCCAGCTTCCCGAGAAAAATGACAAACTATCAGTCACATCAAATCACGAATGTAATAGGCCTAGTTGGCTTTATGATTGGTGGAACACGTACTTTACTCCCGCCAGACTCTCTCGAAAGTTCCGTCTGTGCGGACTGAATGTGGAGATCTTACTTATCGTTATAATAACAACTTTACACGGTCATGTGAAGAGTTTAATAACTACTTAGTAATTATGATTCTTCACAAAAACAGGTCTTAAGTTCAGAAGTAATTCTAAAACCTGAAAGTAGTATTTTTGAAAGTGTTATGGATGCCATGGCGGATTTATTATAGTTATTTTAATATGAACGTTTGTTTAGATTAAGTTTATATTCATAAATATGCATAGTGTTAAATAGGTGTTGCGAAACTACCGCGTATTCTCCGAAGTTGTAGAAAATTCTCGAGAGTAAGAATCAACAACCTATGTACGTATGTAAACTCTTAAATTTGTATTGTTACTTAATCTGAAATTTCTATAAAGCCTCCACACGCCTATAAATATAATCAATGCGATGCGCCAAAAGTGTATTATTAGTTTGCTATAGTAAGTGTGCTATAAACTTTGGAAAATGTTTTTGTTATAACACTTATCAATCGGAAAACTTCAGATATTTGACCAGGAGTATTTACAAAGTTCGAACATTACAAATGATTTAACTTCAGTGGATTCTCATCGGACATTAGTACTTTTACGAAAACACTACCAAACTTCAATGGTGGAAAACTCAGCGTGTGTGGCAAAAGACAAAACCAGCTAGCTAGCTTCCCGTGAAGAGAATCGTGCCTACATCAACTCGCTCATAGTATATCGAAGAAGTTCCGAACTTTATATTGCTTGGAAGTTTGTGAAACTTTGTTTATAGATCATTGTTTGTAATAACTATTTGTAATAACAGTTATTGTAAATTGTATCCTTATGTGTACACTAAGAAGTGTTTTAAAAAAGAAAACTCAATATTGTTGGCAAATATCATAAACGGACTATAGATCGGCTTTTACTTAACTACTAAATTTGAATTATCAGTTATCTCGTTTTCAGACCATTTGAAATTCTAATACGTAACAATGCTTAAATAAATCCAAGATGAAGTAGCCTTTAAGATGAATTTGATAGAGTGAATAATTAAATATATTTCTTGGATGCATAATTTGATTACTTTTGCTCATACCACCAAATAGAGTTGTTTAAATTATTTCAAAAACAATACGAATGTTAATATGTTTGGAAATATTGTGGAACAGTTCAATAATTTTGAAGTAAATTAAATAAAATTTAAATTTCAAATAACAGTTAGAATAATTATAACAAATATTTGAAATGGGGGGGGGGGTAACGGCAAGGGCTGGCCTGTCCCGGCATTTCGGTTTGGAAATCTGGTTGCTCTAGATACGAGACATCAATGCATTTGTTGTCTAAAGCATTTACTTTTTGTTTTTTAAATCGTTTAAAAATATGAATCATGATGACAATTCCAGTGAACCTCTAAGATTTTCCATCCGAACGACTTTCAGTGGTTCTCATATATAACAGTAGTACAAAGTTCTACATTTGAAGATTAGATATTTCTTGGTCTATTCATTAATCATCTTACCCTCAGCAATTTTAATCAATTTTTTCTACAACAGAGGGAGGTAGTCCTTCGAAAACTTTGAAAACTGTTAAGTTTGAATTATTGTTATTTTAATAGCAATATGAAGTTATCGATGAACCAGTCCCAATATACCTTCCGCCTTGTGGTGCACTCGAGTGAACGCCAACAAAAGTACAAGATTGTTGCATAATACTGTTACGACAGCGGAAGTCATGTGACGCTTGTAACACGTCATGAGCTTCTAGAAAATTCATGTCCGTTCGTGAAGCCTCGAGTGTTTACTAGATGTGCGATGTTCTTGTATACAAGACCACCAAGAAGTGACGTCAATGATGGAATTGAATTGCAGACAGAGATAGAGACGGACAATTGAGTCAAGGGCGTGAATCGTTCGTTGTGAATTATAGCGTTTGTTTAGGTTATCGCGTGACCGTGGAAAGTAAGTGAATTTCAAAGTTGTATTCAGAAAGAATAAACCAGTTTTATTTAAGAAAGGACTTGTATCGCTTAAGTTTCTTCGGTAAGAATTTTACGGAAAATTAACAAACGAACAGAGACGTAACAATACCGTAATTCATATTTTTGAAGTCATGTTTGATTTGTTTTCACAGGCGCTCTTCAGAAAAATAGTCTTGTTACCCACTTACTAATCCCGTGTTAGACACGT